GGAGAGAATGTGTTCAACACGATTTCGAGAGGCATGGGCAAATCCGCTGTGATTGGCTGATTGAGCAGATGTGCCGAGCTCGTTCCAATTCCGATTCCTTCAAAGTTCANCAATCTAAGCAAAAGCTTGTCGAGGAGTCGAGGAGCGAGGGGAAGAAGGGAAAGTTGGGTACCCTAAGTATATATATTCTACCGGGCCTCCGGTGCTCAGCAAAACAAGTTTCCTTTAAGCGGGGAGTTTCCTTGACGTGAGCGTCCTTAAAGCGGATTCGACTGGATTTGTACGACCTGGAACCACGAGGCAACAGGGCGGCGCACGCAGGAACACCCAGCTGCCAAAGGAGGCAGTCAGAGAGGGGAATTTCTCGGAAGACATGACAATTGTGAGTAGTAGGCCGTCGTGATGTGTGCCGCATACCCACGAGTTTTGGAGGTTCTCTCTGCGGCTAGCTAGCGGGTATAGCACGGAACAGCGTTGGTATGCACACCGCACACCTTCTCATCTTGCTGACAAGATTCAACCCTGATGACCGCCATCGCGTGTACCTTTGGTACTCTAGTCTAAGCGGCCGATCGAATCCATTGCATGGACACGTGCAACTTTGTTGAGCGCGGTGCCATCTTTAGTCGTCGAGCAGGAGGTCAGATGCGTAGACTCCCTTGTACGAAACGAAGGCTGTCCGGGGGACCGTAGTGCGCACAGCAGTCTGCAGCAGCAGTCCCGTGCTGCTCTCCGCAAGGAAGTTTATAGCAGTCTGCAGCAGCAGCAGTGCGTGGGACGGTCGGGCAGGCAGCTTAGGCCAAGCGGCACATTTCCCAGAACGGTCGGCAGTAGTGCGATTCCCAAGGTGTTCGATGTAATTTGCTCATTGCCGCATATGACACAAGATAACACACCCCCTTGACCAATTTTTAAAGCTCGATTACGCCACGACGAAGAGGATCCATCAATGAAACAACACGTTACGGAAAGCTCTCGACGAGACAGCTTCAACGCCACCGTTTTCGGCGCTGTGGCTCTATCTGCTGTTGAGAAATCGGGATTTGAAAAATCGGTCCAGGGGGTGTGCTATCTTGTGTCATTCACGGTATCGTCGCAGAATCTAGGCAACATCGAACAGCATCCCTGTGTAACAGGTGAAATTCGTCGAGCACCCCTACGGGACTACGGAAGGCGTTCGCGTCGGTTGGACCAGTACGGACATTAGAAGGTACTGAGTGGAGACCGGAACGGGTTTTTAATGTGAAGACAACAAAAACAGCAACAGCAACAATAGTCTGGTTCAATACAGGCAGCTGCGCGAGTAGTCGCCTGTCGCGCGTGCCGTACCGCGCACGCCCTGCAACCCACCGACGCAAAAAGTGTACGGCAGCATCCCTGCACGGAGTAGGGGTCCCCCCAAGGTGGGTGTTATTGCCCAACGACGTGGAAATATCCGCACCATGCGGGGAGTAAGTACAAGAGTCGAAGAGATGGCACCCCCGTGTTTGCGTCGCCTATTTCTCCACAAATAGGAGGGTGCGAACACCAATCGATACCTCTCAGGAAAGCCCTCGACGAGATGTTTCCAAAACTACCCTTTTCGCCACAGGTACCCCCCTGGTTGTTGTGAAATACGCTTCAAAAAAACGCTGACACGGGGGTGCCATCTCTTCGGCTCTTGCGGTAATACGGCTCGTCGGAACTAACCGTGGCACAAGCTGACTTTCTCCGCCACTCACGGCAAAGACTTTCCAAACATCCCCTTCGGCTGCTGCGGTATGATCGAACACAGGCTTTCAGTGGGTCACGTACGTTTTCTGAAAATAAAGCTACATCGGACAAAGACGTTGAAGACCGTGCACGAACCGCACTCCCGCTGCTGCTGAGGGACCCCCCTTCGATTTAGCAATGCTACGATGTTCTTGCTCTTCCTTTGCAATCCCAGTGGACTACTTGTGTGTGGGCTTTTGTATCATTGGTCGACTGTGCCGGCGGTTGCGGGGGGGGGGGGGGGGGGGGGGGG